CACCTACGTGGCGCGACACTTGGCAAAAAACTAGAATGTCAAATGTCGATATCTCGTGACCTGGTTGCATGACCGAATTTATTTATTAGTGATATGATATTATATTATAGTACATTTTGGCCTTTTAAAAATAAAGGAAAATTTGAGTAACCAAAACATGTCACGTAAGCATGTTATGGTTTTTTTTTTTTTTTTTTTTAAATCTACCATAAATTATATGTTAACATAATTGGTCAAAATTTTGCCAGCTTTAACTTAAGTCTACAACAACAGATTGACTTCAAAACTACTTGAGATCACGTACAATAAAATATACGAGGAGTCAATTTTAATAGCATAACCATACCAAACTTGTTCTTCTAGTGATTAAAGTACTCCTTAAAATTGATTCTAATTCTAAAAATATTAAGGCGAAAAGGAAAGAAAAGAAATTTATTTTTTTTTCCCCCTTAAAAATATCAAAATGAGAGTTAGGAAACTTAATAAGGAGTAATACAAAGCAACAAATTGCTTAGACGACTAAAAAGATAAGAGAAGTTTAACATGGGAGAGCCTAATCTCGCGGTATACTTAGCTGTGAGTTTTGTAGGTTCGGCAGCTGCTATTCTTGCTTGGGTTGCCGAGGCTAAAAAGATTAAGGTACGATTTCATTTAATTTAAAACTTAACAATATAGTTCTCGAATTAAATCCCTGAAAATGAACGATTAGATTTGTTCACATTGATGACAATCAGGTGGCAGACGTTAGTATGATGGAGCTCGGAATATGCAAATACCCAAGTTCTCCGGCTAGCATACTTGGGTACATAGCAGCAGTGCTCGTACTTTTAAACCAAATAGGTATAAGTGCTATAGCTCGCTCTGCTTGTCGCGGGACAAATAATACCTACACTCAAAAATCCTTTGTTAATCCAACTTTCTGCTTCATTTTATCATGGTACGTAACTGATCGTTTTCATTTGGTTTTTTTAAGTCCAAAATTGTTGTATCATTATTACAGAACTTGGAATTAACGAGCGCACGTCTCTTTAATATAATACCAAGTATTTGTTATGCCCCATAAATTTAAACAACGTAACATTTTTTGTACAACGTGGGTTGTACTTGTACGTGCCCTTAGAATAATTGATACTTTGTATATGTAAATTTTCCGTTTTTGTCATACGTTACAGGATTTGTTCTGGTTCCGGAATTGCTCTCCTAATATCTGGTGCATATCTCAGCGGTCACCAAGAATTTCTAGCTGCAACAAAAGTTTGCTACACCTTAAAACCTCGCTTATTTGACGCGGGTGGCTCGATGGAAATTATTGGATGCACCCTAGGTCTGTGCTCTGCTTACTACTTCTGGGCTAATAGTCAACCAGCACCCAACCAAGCGGTTTCACATCAAGATGGCGTTGCAATGGCTGATTCTCGCGTTGATGCTGCCCCTACGTACTCGAACAACCCCAAGCAACAGCAATATGTTTGAATTCATGTCCTTAAAAGGGTGCTTCTAAAGTTTTAAAGCAGACTGTCGAATTTGAGATTTTTTTTTTTTTTTATTTTTTTTTTGAGGCATGTTATTAGCATTGAATCAAATGTTAATTTATTTAAGGAAAAATACACTTTAATAAACCCAACTATTGGCGATTTACTAGCAGACCAATGGCAGAATCAGCACAATTAGTGGAGAAAACGCGACGGAAATGCGACGGCGACGACATACGGGGTTGCTGATTTGGTGTGCGAGATAATAGGAAGATGCGGTGGTTATTGGTCGCGCTGCTGGTCGGTGTTTTGAGACGCGAGCTGCTAGGTTTTGTGTGATGAGATGCGGTGTGATGGTGCGTGGCTGGTGCGCAGTGGTTTACGTGGTGTTGCGCGGTTGTTTTGGTGGCTGCTATATGCTTTTAGGGGTCAGGGATGGATGGTAAAGGCCGGCCGGCTGTTTTCGGTGGTTAAGGGGGGGTTGGCCGGCCGGTTTTCGGCGAGGTTGGGGGCTGGGGTTAGGGTTCCGGTGAGGTTAGGGGGCGGGGAGAGGTGGCTGGAATTTTGTTTTTTTTTTTATTATTTTATGTTTAATATGTTTTTTTAACTCTTAATTTTGCACCATTCACATGTTGACACATGGCGATTTTTGAAAAAAAAAAAAAAAACAACCTCTTTCAGCAGGTCACCGGTCATTGGGACCATTAGAGGCAAACTGACCCCATTGTTAGGATTATTAGATAATAAACCTTAGTTGGGATTATTAAAAGTAAATCACTCATAATTGGGATTATTAAAATGTATTTTTACTTTATCTAAAAAGCTACTTTTTTATTGCTAAAATTTTGTTATTATTTTGAATATCGCACATATTTGTCAATGCATTACTTTGGCCATTAAAATGTTTAGTTACGTATTAGTACAAGCATACTTCACATAATAATTGAATATTATCTCCATTTAATTAAAGATCTACCAGGGTCGGATCTATTCATGTGCACAGTGGTGCACGTGAGTCACTAGTAAAAATAAAAAAAAATAAAAAAAAAAGAAAAAGAAAAAAAATGATGTTAGGTTTTTTTTTATATATCAAAGAGACCCCTTATTATAGATAGACGGTCTCTTTGATGCTGTTATTGCTACAACAGCTTTGCGCTTATTATAGATAGACGATCTCTTTGATGCTGCTATTGCATTTTACTTGGCTTTTTGCGCTGCTTTCTTTTTTTCATTAAAGAGACCGGTTATATTTAATAACTGGTCTCTTAAGTTATCTCACTTTTTATTTATAAATCTCACTTTTTATGGTGGTATTTTTCAAAAAACTAACATAATCAATTAATCAGTCAAAACTTGGCCAGCTTTGGCTTATTTATTTTATTTATTTTAAAGAGAATGACTTAAATATACTTGAGATTTGAGAACACGTATAATATATACGACTAGTCAACTTAGAAGTACAACTGTACAAAGGGCCAGTTCTTCTAAACTAATAAATAGCTCTAATACTAAAATAATTAAGGTAATGATGAAAAGGAAAATCAGAGAAAAATAGAAATTAAAGAAGATATATATTAATAATGTATATTAGGACTATTATTGAGCAACTATTTAAGCTGAGGATTATACAATAATCAAGGGAGCTAAGGTTAATATTCATGGGAGAGGGCAAAGTTGTGGTGTTCATTGTTGTGGGTTTCCTAGGTTTGGCAGCTGCTGCTCTTGCTTTTGCTGCTGAAGCCACTAAGATTAAGGTAATATATTTGTCTAATTTAATGAATTTCTTTTGATTATAATTCTTTAACAATCAAAACTAGCTAGTTAATAGATTATATTATATGTGTATAAGAAAAAAATTTGCCAGTTTATTAAGAGATAATAATAATGGTTGAACTTTTAAGTGACGATATATGACTCTTTGTGTTTACTATACCATCACGTTATTAGTTTGTGATGAAGAGAATTGAATAAAAAGAAATGAAGCATAAATTTATTTTTAAATGAAGAAACAAATTAAACAATCCACATACTCGTAGTAAATATGAAAAACACAACAAAATTCAGATTAGTCGGAATTTAATAAACTATGATTTTGTTCATGTTGATGATTATCAGGTATCGGATATTAGTATAACGGAATTCAATACATGTGAATACCCAAGCTCTCCAGCAAACATACTTGGATACACAGCAGCTTTGCTAACATTTATCGCTCAGATAACCATTAGTATTGTAGCTCGCTGTGCTTGTTTGCCTAGCGACTCCAACAGTCAATCCCCTGGAGTAACCTTTGCTTTCATTTTATCTTGGTAATCTTCTAAATGTAGATAAATTAAATATAACTACCAAGTATCATTTTTACTAATTTGCAATTAATCAATCTATAAAAAGCAATGAAAAATGATATATATTGCCCTAAGGGTTATGTATAAGAAGTTAAAAGAGAAAAGTATTTGTGAAATATCTTCATTAATTACACTGATTTGCGCGTGATTTTGTCATGCATTCCTATACTAGTCCCAAATAAAGAAAGATATTTAATGCTTATTTGTAGCCCTAAGGACTACATATAACATTACCCAAAATTAATTAGTACTTCGCATAAATTAAAGATACAATATGTAGAGCAAATGTCCATATCTAAGCTTAATCTTTAAATTTATTTTCATTACTAATATATGTGGGCCCACTAATTTTAAAATTGATAAGAGGGTTCACCGGCATGCCACGTGCAAGGGCTCCTTTCTTTAATGATTAGCACGACTTTTTTATTGTCCATTTTAGGCATAACCCATTTGACCACAAGGCATGCTAGCACGACACATGGGCCTACACAGCTCGGTCCGTTCCTAGCTTTATTTCCAACTTTAAAGCTTAGAGTGGAGGGAAGTTAATTGGTATGAACAATATGATTGAGTATTTCCTAAGGTCTAGGGATGTTAATTGACATGAGAGTTATTTGCTTTATTGAATATTGAATTGATGCCAACTTTCTTTCTTGTTAATTTGTCATTTGTCATTTGTGACAGGGTTGGTTCTGTTATAGGAATTGGTCTCCTAGTATATGCTGCTAATCTTAGCACTCGTCAAGAGTTTCTCGGATCAATAGGACTTTGCTACACCCTAAAAACTGGATTATTTGCTTCTGGTGGCGTTCTAGCACTTCTTGCTTGTATCCTTGGCATGTCTTCCTCCTACAGCTTCTCGACCAATCGCCGTTCATCAATAGCAGTTCCATATCATGGTGGCATTGCCATGGCAAATTCTCAGTTTGCTGATGCCCCTACGTAAGCAACAACAATATGTTTGAATTATTTTATACTTGCAACTAGTTTCTTTGTGGAGTTTGAGATCATGTCCTAATTTAATATAGTGCTTTTAAACTTTGGAATGAGATTTGCATAGTTTGTAATAATAGAAGAAGAAAAAATTGTAAAAGCATTTAATTGTACAAAGAAAAAAAAAAGTTGCTTAGAGTGCTTTGAAACTTTGGAATGGATTTGATAATTTGTATTGGAAAAAAAAATTATAAAACCATTAAATGGTAGGGGAAAAAAAGTTGCTTGACTCAATTATGAATTAGTTTGATGTCAATTTCACTCTGGTAGCCTATAATGACACAAGATTGGTTTTATGCTCAATCAACTGTTCACTAGGAAATTAACTAACTATGCTCGCCTAAACATTATTATCAATAGATTTCAATAATTGTTCCTTTGTACAATCCAATGAAAATATTAAGAGAATTCTAAGCAAAAACACGTTATGCATCTTCAAAAAAAATCCAACATATTTCAAAGCTAAAACACAAACAAGTTATGCATCTTCAAAAAAAAATCCAACACATACATGCATATCTATAAAGAACTCCTAGTTCTTCTAAATTCGCTTGTTCTCACTCCATGTTTCCCTACATCCTCCTCCGGTAGCCTTAACGTGAATCTTTCCCAACTCTTCATCTCCACTAGATCAACTACGGCGACATGTCCCGTTGAATTCCACCTCTTATGCTTCCCAAACAGCCCCTCCTCGACGTCCCTCTCCGGCCTCACCTCGAAGACATTATGATTTTCCACCTCGCATCCCAACTCATAAACCCCTCCCACATCCACCAAAGTCAACTCACTAGGTTCCGGCACAAGATACGCCCGACAAAGAGGACATGTATTGTGATCCTTAAGCCAAGGTTCCAAGCAAGTAACATGAAAAATGTGGTTGCACTTTGGCAGCAAACGCAGCATTTCGTCTGCCTCGAATGGGCTCAGGCACACCGAGCACTCTAGTGGGTCGGTATCATCCCTAAGGGCCGCCACCTCGGAGTATTTAAATATAGGGAAGGTTTCGAGGATGGAGGAATCTAGCCCAATGCTAGCCGGATGAGCAAGCCCATCATTGACCCATACTTGAGGTTGAGGCCTTACTTAGGGTTTGCAATAATTGTAGAAGATGAGGATGATGATGATCACGATGATTCCGGTGACCGATAACGCAAGGCCTAGGTGAAGAGGGTTTATGTAAGGTGGAAACCGAGATGATGTCCAACCAAAATAGACAAATGTAGAAACATGGTGTAGTAATAAGGCTTAGGAGATATTAAATTAGGAGGTTAGGGTGGTGATGTTTATTTGAGTGTATCATTATGAAAACAATGGACCTTTCGTTGACATAAATAAGATAAAACTTCAATTATGGTGAGAATGTTCGAACATTTGAATTAGGATATGTTTTGAGGCATTCAAACTAAGAAATTAAAGGACTTGTGTTGACAAATAATTCATTTGATATTATATATATATATATATATATATATATATATATATATATATATATATATATATATATATATATATATATATATATATATATATATATATATATATATATATATAGAGGAAGGCTCATGTAAGAACCCTCCTCTATATAAGAACTCAATCTTATATAAGAACCAATCTCAACCATTTATTAGTTTTGATCCAACCATCTAAAACCATCCTTTAGTAATGGCATTTCTGTAATTCTTTTTTTATGTTTTAAATTTTTTTCTACTCTTATGTTCTAAATCTAGTCTACCTATTTTCTAATTTTTTTTTTCTATGTTCCAAATTTAGTCTACTTATATACTAAAGTTTTTTTTTTTTTTTTTTTTTTTTTTTTTTTTTTCCTATGTTCTAAATTTTTCCAACCTATGTTCTAAAGTTTTTTTTCTTCTTCTTATGTTCTAAATATTCTTTTACCTATGTTCTAAATTCTTTTGCCTATGATCTAAATTCAGTCTACTTATGTTCTAAAGTTTTTTTTTCCTAAGTTCTAAATTTTTACTACCTATGTTCTAAAGTTTCTTTTTTTTTTCTTTTTTTTTGTTTACGTTCTAAATATTCTTTTACCTATATTCTAAATATTCTTTTATCTATGTTCAAAATTTTTTTTTTCTATGTTCTAAATTTAGTCTACTTATGTTCTAAAGTTTTTTTTTCCTGTGTTCTAAATTTTTTCAACCTATGTTCTAATTTTTTCCTATATTCTAAATTTTTTCTACCTATGTTCTAACGGTTTTTATTTCCTATGTTTAAAATATTATTTCCTATGTTCAAAATTCTTTTGCCTATGTTCTAAATTCAGTCTACTTATGTTCTAAAGGTTTTTTTTTTTTTTTTTTTTTTTTTTTTTTATTTATGTTCTAAACTTTTACTACCTATTTTCTAAAGTTTTTCTTATATAGTTATTTATAAATATTGCCTATGTAGGATTCGAACCTATATCAACTATGCATTTGCATAGTGCTCTACCACTTGAGCTAATAGATTTTTAATATAAATCAACACCCTCCCATAGAAGCCGAGGAAAACAATCACATGCAATGTAGAAACTCAAATGCGACAATTTTGCATAAAGAAGATCTATGGACACCCCATTGAACTTAAATCTCATCACCGGGACAAAAACATCAGGCACAGGGTGCAACTTTGTAACCTCAGGCATCTCAGAAAGCATCTAATGGAGTTCTTCGAAGAAATCTTCCTATATCCAGTAAAATATAACAAGTTAAGGGGCACTAAAGTAGCAAAAAATAATGGAAAAAGTATAGAAGCAGACAAAAGTTATATCTTACCTCTCGCGTAGCATGTCTAGGGGCAACACATAGGATATTTATATCAACTCCAGGACTACGCACCTATTTACAACAACCAAAAAAAAACAAGAAGAAGAATTTAAAGCATAAGAAAACAAATATCTAGAACATAGGAAAAAATTTAGAACATAAGCTGAAAAAATAATTTAAAACATAGGAAAAAATTTAGAACATAAGCTGAAAAAATAATATAGAATATAGGAAAAAAAATTACTACATAGGAAAAATTTAGAACATAAACAAACAAACATATGAAAAATAATTTAGAACATAGGAAAAAATTTAGAACATAAATTGAAAAAATAATTTCGAACATAGAAAAAAAATTTAAAACATAAGCTGAAAAAATAATTTAAAATATAGGAAAAAATTTAGAACATAAGAAAAACTTTAGAATTTAGGAAAAAAATTTAGATTATAGGAAAATTTAGAACATAAGCAAACCAACTTTTAAAACATAAGAAAAAATTTAGAACGTAAGCTGAAAAAAAAATTTAGAACATAGAAAAAAATTTAAAACATAAGCTGAAAAAAAAATTTAGAACATAAGGAAAAAAAATGTATAATATAGGAAAAAAAATTTAGAACATATGAAAAATTTAGAACCTAAACAAACAAACATTTAGAATATATGAAAAATAATTTAGAATATAGGAAAAAATTTAGAACATAAGCTAAAAAATAATTTAGAACATAGGAAAAAATTTAGAACATAAGCTGAAAAAAAAAATTTAGAACATAAGAAAAAATTTAGAACATATGCTGAAAAAAATTATTTAGAACATAGAAAAAAAAAATTTAGAACATAAACAAACAAACATTTAAAACATATGAAAAATAATTTAGAACATAAACTGAAAAAAATAATTTAGAATATAGGAAAAAAATTTAAAACATAAGTTGAAAAAATAATTTAGAACATAGGAAAAAATTTAAAACATAAGCCGAAAAAATAATATAGAATATAGGAAAAAAAATTTAAAACATAGGCTAAATTTAGAACATATGAAAAATAATTTAGAACATAGGAAAAAATTAAGAACATAATCTGAAAAAATAATTTAGAATATAGGAAAAAATTTAAAACATAAGTTGAAAAAAATAATTTAGAACATATGAAAAAATTTAGAATGTAAGCTGAAAAAATAATTTAGAATATATGAAATAATTAGAACATAAGCAGAAAAAAAATTAGAACATAGGAAAACTTTAGAACATAAGCCGAAAAAAGTTTAGAACATAAAGAGGGGTTCTTATATAAGATTGGGTTCTTATATAAGGAGAGGTTCTTACCGGATCCCTCCCCTATAGGAAGGCTCATGTAAGAACCACCCTTTATGTGAGAACACTCCTAATATATGAGAACAAATCTAAGCCTTAGGATCAAACGATATCAACGGCTCTAATAAATCCAAACTTTTGATATCAAATGATATACTGCTGCTACTCAGAAAAACAGAGCAAAGAACTACAAGCTTCAATTTCAATGAGATTCAAGAATTTCGAACACAATTCCGTTCGATTTTTGTCAGATTTCAGCAGCAACAAAAATCAACAAGTTTCTTAGATTATACAGGTAAATAATCAATAAAAGCTATGTTAGTTTTCTCCGAATGTAATTTTCTTAATTTTGTCAATATTTTCGAATTTCATGGTTTGAATGTTGGATTTTCGTTAAAATATTATCAATGAGTGATCTTAGCATCAAAATTTATAAAATATTTTTCAATTACATGTTAATCTTAGTGCTTGAGAATTTCAAATTGTTCAGTTCGAATTTTTTTCGTTAAAATTTTGGATAATTTTCGTTAAAATATTCGATTATATTCGTTAAAATTCAATGAGAAATTTTCAATTTGAGTATTTAAGAACTATTAAATTGCCTATTAATCTTATTATGTCCAGTTGAATGAGCTCAATTTTCGATTTGAGTATTTCAATTGAAGGTATGTAAATTGAGCATATATAATTAAAATGAGCAAAAAGAATTAAAATGAGCAAATACAAAAAAAAAAAATGAGCAACTATAAAATGAGCAAAATAAGTTGTGTTGTTGTGGTACAATCGTTCTTGTGTTGTTATTTTAAATTTGAGTGTCATTGTTGCGTTCTTGATGTTGCTGCTAAAATAGTTAGTTTTGTTAGTGGTTATGCTTCCTAGATTGAGCTCTTGTGTGTGTTCTGAAATCAGAAACTGATTTCAGTTCTAATTTTAGATTCTGAAATTACTGTGTGTGTGTGTAAGAGAGTGTGTGTGTGTGTGTGTGTGTGTGTGAGAGTGAGTATAAGAGTGTATATGTGTGCAGGATCTGAGAAGGAAGGGGATGAAGTTGATTCGATGTGTAGCATATGTGGGATTGGAGAGGAAAGCGAGCTTCACTGTTTGAAGGAGTGCGTAATTGACAGACATATTTGGGATACGTGTCAAGGTAGCTTACTATCAATTACTTTCTAAAAATATTAGACATGTCTGTGTTATACATATATTGATTGACCTGATATATTTGTCTAGAACTGGATAATTCCTTCTTGGTCTTTATAACCCTAACCTCAGTTCCTTTACACACATAAGCATCTGTATTAATCTTCATCACGCTAGCCCAGCAGTAGCTTGTGTTATACTTGTTAACTATTAGCTAAGCTGTGCTTTAGTTGCAATGTTGCAGTGATAGACGAGCAATTGTTCTTCTTTAGGTATGATTTTGGTTTTTAATGTATCTTTGATTTCATTATTTTCTAGATCTTGTTTTTTATTTTCGCTTGATTTGGGTGTGAATAGATTTGCATTGATTGGAACTGGAATCACAAAAAAATCAAATAGAATTGTTGTCATCATGCATATTAAGCTCATAATTGTTGATGTTTCAGGTACTTGTATGGGGATCTATATGCAAGCAATAATATATGGGCAACTACTGAGAATCCAACAAACTGTGAAAACCTTAGCACAGTAGCAATTAATGTCGTTTAGTTGTGTAAAAGACTCACCACTTCAGTGCAGTGCTGGAGCAACTACACTTCCAGCTCTGGGATACATATATTCATTTGCACAGGACAACTAGAAAGATGTTCTCAATCTAGCCAGCATCGGAGTTTACAAAGTTGTTTGCCCAAGCTGTTGCAACTATGCTTACTCAAAGGAGATTGCAAGGCCTGCCACTAGTCCAACTCCAAGTCCATCATCCCCTTCAAGGGGAGCTCATTCTCTTGCACCTCTTAGAGATTGGCTATCCTTTCTTCTCTGCTTCCTGATTCAGCATTTATTATTTTGAGCATTGTTTCATTTGCATTCAGCTAGGATAGTCGTATACTCGTATATATATATAGTTGTTTGTATCTCCGTGGATTTGAGAAGCGTGTTGAAATTTTTCGAGATACACATTATTGTAATTGGGAGTGTGTGTATATATATATATGTATTAATCTTGTTACATTTCAAACTTTAGTATATTATAATTAAAATAAAGCTACAAAAACAAAACAAAAAACAAAAAACAAAAAAAAAAAAAAAAAAAACGGAGAAAAGGTAGGGGTTCAGGAGAAAACCGCTACTTTTAAGTTGTAAAAAATCAAATTCGTACTAAATTATATGAGCAAAAAAAATGGTTTGAAATGATTTTATAACTATATAAACTTTGTTATAATTAAACTCTCATACAAACTTGTGTCTCCACATTATATAAATGAACCTACGTGGGATTCAAACCCACATCTTTTGTGCATTTGCACAATGCTCTACCCTTGAGCTAGTAGGCTAACGTATTTAAAACATTCAAACAACACTCACAAATGAGCATTAATTTGACAAAATGAGCAAGAATCATTTGCTCATTTGACAAATGAGCATTAAATAGTTTGCTCATTTGACATAGGAGCATTGAATTTTTTTTGCTCATTTGACAAATTAGTAAAGAATATATATTAATTTTTGACAAAATAAGCCAAAATTAACAAATGAGCAAAAATTTAGTTGCTCATTTGTTAAATGAGCAAATAGTTGGTAGCTCATTTGTCAAATGAGCAAACATTTCTTTAATCATTCATTAAATCAACAAGCATTTCTTTGCTCATTTGTGAAATGAACAAACATTTTTTTGCTCGTTTGTGAAATGAGCAAACATTTTTTTGCTCATTTGTGAAATGAGCAAACATTAGTTTTCTCATTTGTCAAATGAGCAAATAATTAGTTACTCATCTGTAAAATAAGCAAATATTTCTTTGATCAGTTAGGAAATGAGCAATCGAATTTTTGCTCATTTAACAAATAAGCAAATAGTTAGTTGCTCATTTGTAACAGATATATGTCCTTTCCAATGGTAACATATGTAATCTACAGACATCACAAGGAGACAAATTATCCAACAAGGCATACATAAGGGACACTGGGATAGGAGCATCAACAGATTAATTAATAGCAGCACCATATAGCATGGCAGTGACAACATCACAGCAAGCATCGATATGTGGTCTACGTATAGCTTTCAGGTACAACTTCCGTAATATTGTTGCTTGTCCTTCTCCTGTTACCATCTAGCAAGCCACTTCTAGGAGTGCAAAGAATATTACTCCCTAATTCCGTATACTTTGTATGCATCTTCGATTTCACCAAATTAAACAGAGAAGTGTAACCATTAAGGATCGACCACCAATATGTTAACTCCTCAGCCACCAAAGAAAATGGTTCTGCAGATAGTTCATGTTCAAGCACAAAACTAACAACAGCTTGCAAACCTGTTAAATACACACACACAGAGTACAATATTAGTCATTAATTTGCACCTGTGTAATGACCCCAAATTTGCACACAAAAGCTTTATTTATCTTTCTTTTATATTTTGGTTCACTTTGGAGCTATTACTTGCCATGCAGAGGAAAATTAATTGACACAAAACACTCATTACTAAGACAAACCGCCCAGAATAACCCAATTTTACAACACACCCATCCTTAGTGACAGATAGTAATGACTCCAAGCACCACTAGATGAGCAGCATTTCACGCTTGCACAATTCATGAGGGTTGCAATTTTTACTATACCAACGGTTGTACCTAGAGCTGTGTACAACCACACTCATTTTTTTGCTCATTTGTATTTTTGAAATGAGAAAAATTTTCAAATGAGCAAAAAAAATGAGTGTGGTTGTATTTAGCTCTAGGTACAACTGGTTGTATAGTGAAGGCTCTGCAGGAGAGGACCCCGGTAAATTCAAGGAAGATTTTCTTTAAGCTATATATGTTATAGGAAGATATATAAACCAAGAAGGTTGACAGGTTGTAGACAAATAAACCTACAGTTTCTAAAAGGCCATTGTATGTAAGTTTTGGTTCGGTTCTAATAATCTAAGTTGTAATGGTGTTTTTATGAATAAATGGGAGAAACAGGAAAGGTATGAAAGTGAGTTGAAGTAAAAGAAGCTTTCACATGAAAAAACTGACTGCAGTCATCCATCCCAATATGCATTTCAATGCCTTTGCAAATGGCACCAAATGCTAATGTAATACATGCTCGACAACTTCCAACGATATTGCTTTGTAATATCAAATCTCTCTAGACTAATGGCAGGCTATAACTAAACCATATTCAATGATATTCTTTTACAAAGCATAATTAATATCCAAAAGCAAAAAATGGGCAAATTAATTGACAAATGAACAAAGAATCACTTCAGTCCATCACAAACATAAATGGCACACGAAATTATAATCATCATAATGATTTGTATTCTACAAGAACCTACTAAAGCACTGTTCTATTTTTAGTTTTAACATTTTAACTTCATCAAAGTAAGTGGGACACCAGACAAACAGAAGTCTATATTATTATAGCTTGGTCACTTCAGCTAAAAATAGAAACAAATGAAAAAAATTCATTATCTTTCAGAAAATTAATATAACTAGTAGTTACCTCCATATATATGCTTGATAATTCTTTTCTTTCAAGTATACTGGCAGCATCAGAACTATCAAGCGTTGGAGCCAGGTACTTATCAACCAAAGAATCCATATAATCAATTTGTTTTGGGAGCGACTAGATAGATTCCAAATGTATTAATGCCTGCATGATGGAAACAACTTTCATAAGAGCAGCAAAAGAATCCCTCTTTTCCTGTCTCAACTTCAGTCTGGACAACAAGAATATTTCTTCATCAAAAAACAATTTATGGCATTTAGGACTGCAGAGTTTATGAAATCTTTATATATGTATTCTTATAGGTGTATAAACACCATGATGTTTCCAAATATCAATAAAATGTACCTCCAAAAGTGGCTTTGACAATTGGACATGATATCACAGGAACATCTCCAAATGTAGCTCCAACAAGGATATCTCGAGCTTTTTCAGCATTTCCATAAACCTACAAAACAAAGCAAGACAAAGACACTGTTATCCCATTAAGAACCTTAAGATAGCACAGATATTAGAACATGGCACAACATTACCTCATTGTGAGTAAAATAACGGCAAGCTGAGAAAAAAAATGAGGTTAACAGGAAGATTGCCCCACAAAGGTCACAGGCTCTAAAGGTTCAAACAGAGTAGGCATTGTCTCCAAATAAGAGTTGGAGTTTAAGGCTGCATGCAATTGTATATTTGATACTCCTCAGCTGAACTGTTGGGACTAGTGTAATGTTTTATTTTATTCGATTCATTACAATTTTTAGTAAATAAACATAGGAGATGTTCAAAACTTCACAAAAATATACGCATATTAACAATCACAATTAATAATATGATGTCAAGTTAGTGTTGATCTTCAGTAACATTACATATTTCTAGGAGCTTGTAGAATTATCAGATTGTAATCTAATATGCTGATTATGATTGCCAACAATCTTACGAGAGATGACAATCCAAACTACCTTGTAAAAGCGATAATAAATGTACAACCAATTCAGGAAAACAAAACATAGTTAACAACCACCAACAACCAAAAAACTAGCACAAAAATGGCACAACAACAACGATTCAAAAATCACTGAAATTTCGAACCTATATTCGAAAAATTCTGAACCTAAATTCGAAAAAAAATCACTGAAATTTTGAACCTAAATTTCGAGAAAAAAAATCACTGAAATTTCGAACCTAAAATCTGAACCTAAATTCGAAAAAAATTCATTGAAATTTCGAAAAAATCGTGGAAATTTGAATGAAAATAGCCGAAAATAAATGAAAATCAAATTAGAAAATCGCATAAATCAAATCGCAATAAATAAAATCGCAAAAATCAAATCGAAAAATCGCAAAATCTACTTGCACATCATGCGTTTTTCATGAAAATTTGAACCAAAAAAAAAAAAAAAAAAGGTACCTGATTTGAGCAATTTAGGTTGTTTTATGTGAAATTTGAACAAAAATTCTTCAATTTGCAACAATTTTGTGTTCGATTTTGGGATTTGAGGAGAGAGAAATACAAGAGGTTTGAAATTTTGAGGAGAAAGAGATGTTGAACGTGAAAGCCAAGAAGAATAGCAAAGAGAATGGAGGTGTAATTCAAGAAATTACGAAAATGTCATTATTATTTTTTTTTTGATGGTTAGATTTAATTTGATCAATGGCTAGATTTGTTCTCATATATATTAGAGTTCTCACATAAGGGATGTGTTCTCACATGATCCCATTTCTATATATATATATATATATATATATATATATATATATATATATTTGGTGAGAACCACCTTCTATGTGAGAACTCATCCCATATATTATTAAATCCAATGGTTGTGATTAATCACATAAACCTCCTAAAAACCACGCCTAACTGTCTTCTCTCTCCACCCAGTTAACTGACTTCTCTCTCCACCACGAAGCTTCATCAATGGCGTCTAATGAATAACTTCATCTTCATACAACTATCTCAATTATTCTCTCTACGCTGTTTTACTGCCGTTTATTGCAATCATTGAGACGCTTAGTAACGTTGTTTCTCATTGCTTCGAATTGGATTCCCCAAGTAATCATAAGCAAGTTCACACCGACCTCGCTCACTTGCTCGATTTTAGTAATTGCAATTGCAATCGCTGCTACAAAATCGAATTCGCCAGGTTATTGAATTGCATATTAATCTTAGTATTTGAATTTATTGTTATGATAATTTTTTATTATTGAGGTTTGTTCTGCTCTCATTGAATTGCATGTTTAATTGCATCAATTATTGATTTGATTGAATTTACTTCTTTGAAGAATTGAATCAATTATTTAGGTTTGATTAATTTGATAGAGATTGAAAATTTGAAATCAAATTTAAAATGAGCAAATAAATTGAAAATGAGCAAACCTAAATATGTGTAATAATATAGAAAAAATATAATGAGCAAAAATATATTTAAAATGAGCAAATACAAAACAAAAATGAGCAAATGAGCAAATGAGCTAAATAAGTTGGTGATGGTGGTGGTGGTAGGGTGCAGGGGACAGGGCGGCGGCAGGGGAGTGAGAGTGAGACAAGTTGTGGTGGTGATGGTGATGGTGGTAGGGTGCAGAGGCAGGGACAGGGGCGGAGGAAGGAGAGAGAGTTTGGTGGTGGTGGTGGTGGTGGTGGTGATTGTACGGTGTAAGGAAGAGGGTGAGAAATGGCATACAGCTTATTATCATGAGTTACAGAAGCAGTGAAAGAGGTAGTTGTAGCTAATGCTAATGCTAATGCTAATGCTAGGATTAGAAGAGAGAGAGTGCCCATATTATTGTGAAGAAAAAAGAGTAGAGAGAAAGAAAGTGGAGGGAATTTGTAGATTAGAGTATCATTGTTGCGTTCTTGTTGCTGTTTCTAGGATAGTTTGTTTTACTTGGGTTGTGCTTCCTAAATACTTATTTTCTTATTTGTCAAATGAGCATTGAGTTATTTGCTCGTTTGACAAATGAGCATTCATTTATTTGCTCATTTGACAAAAAAATCAAAGAATTGTTTGCTTATTTCACAAATGATCATTGAGTTCCTTGGTCTGCTTGCCTGTGCACAAGACCCACCCCCTTCTTCTTGGTCTGTTTCCTGCACACCAACCACACTTTCTTCTTCCACTTCCCTGCACAAACCTATCCCCCCTGCCCCCTCATATTTCTGCTTGCAGTTCTGATTTCAAAACTGATTTCAGTTCTAATTTTAGATTCCGAAATTATTGTGTGTATGTGTGTGTAAGTGAGTGTAAGAGTGTGTGTTTGCTTCTGGCCGTGTACATTCTTACTTAAGAATCTGATTTCAGTTCTAATTATTGAGAGTCTGTATGTAAGTGTGTTTAAGGGGGTGCATATTCACTTGTTACTATTTTGTGGAATTGTTAATGACTTGTTATTTCAATTATGTTTAATGATAGAAATGATGAGGAACAATGAACATCTTGACAGTCATTCTAGTACCATCGCAAATGTGCCAACTACTCCTACAATAGTAGTTTCTCCTAAAGTAGCACCTTTGCTCACTCTGGAGGAACAAAAGAATGGCTTCCAATATGCCCCAATGAGTTGAAACCAGCTATAGGGATGAAGTTTAATAGTCTTGAAGAGGGCCTTGAATTTTATAAAAGTTACGCATTTGCTTCTGGATTCAACACAAGAAAGTCTACAACTAAAAGACAAAGAAGAAGCAAAGAATTGAAATCACAGTATATCTTATGCAATAAGGAAGGATACAAAGAGAAAAGAAAGGCTACTGTTGAAAAAGATTTAAATAACAAGGAAGGAGAAAGCAATGAAGAAATAGCTTTAATCAAAGGAAGAGACTCGTTACTCGTGTTGGGTGCAAGGCACATATTGTCATAAAGCATTTTGATGATAACAAATTCATAGTGTCACAATTTCATGAGAGACATACTCATGCACTTTATACACCTAATTGCAATCTCTTCCTAAAAGAAGGAAGGAAAATGAACATATTGCACAAAAAAATAATTGTGAATAATTCTAAGTTAACACTTTCAAAGTCTCTTATGTTTCATGAATTCTCTATATGTTCTAATAAAAGTTGTTTGTTCATTTGAAAAATGAGCATTGAATTGTTTGTTCATTTGAAAAATGAGCATTAAATTGTTTGCTCATTTGAAAAATGAGCATTAAATTGTTCAAATGAGCAAGCAAATAATTAGATGAGCATTGAATTGTTTGCTCATTTTAAAAATGAGCATTGAATTATTTGCTTATTTGACAAACTGTTTTGTTCTTTAAATAGGTGAATATTGGTCCCTTTACAACTTTTTGAATGAGAAGGAAATTGTTGGAGGATATGATAACATTAGTGCATCTAAGCAAGATTTCAAAAACTTTCATAGAGATTTAAAAGCATACATTCAAGGAAGCGATGCTCAAATGTTCGTGAATAACTTTACCAACAAAAAGCTAATGTGGAGCGCTTTTTTCTTTGATTTTGAAATGGATGAAGATTATTGCCTTTGTAGAGCATTGTAGGCAGACCCCCTTTATAAAAAGAGTTATGCTTTATTTGGTGATATGGTACCCTTTGATACCACATACTAAACCAATAGGTAATTCATAATAATCACAATTCATTTTTATGTTATAATTATAGCTTAACTTAATGACTTTGTTTTAAACGAACTTAGTATAATTGTTTGCTTACTTCAATGTGAAAAGTGAATATCCTCATAAGAGTATGTATGTGGGCATTAAATTGCATGTTCATTTGACAAATGAGCATTGAATTATTTGGTCATTTGACAAATGAACAAAGAATTGTTTGCTTATTTCACAAATGAGCATTGAGTTATTTGCTCATTTGACAAATGAGCATTCAATTATTTTCTCATTTGACAAAAGAGCAAAGAATTGTTTGCTTATTTCACAAATGAGGATTGAGTTATTTGCTCATTTGACAAATGAGCAATCAATTATTTGCTCATTTGTCAAATGAGCATTGGATTATTTGCTCATTTAAAATTTAATCTGCATGTGTAAACAGGTACAGCATGGTGTTTACTCCATTTACAGGGGTTGACCATCATAAGGGCTCCATTTGCTTGTTTCATAGCAAATGAAGATATTGTGTCATTTGAGTGGCTGTTTAGATCATTTCTCAAGGCAATGAGTGGGAATGAACCTAATTGTATGATTACGGATCAGGATCCGGCAATGAAAATTGTTGTTACAAGTGTGTGTAAGAAGACTGAACATCGCTTCTGTATGTGGCATATAATGAAAAAGTTACCAGATAAGGTGGAGAAATCAATCATGCAAGAAGAAACTGGTTTCCTAAAAAAATTATGTGCTTGCGTTTGGCATCTTGAAATTGAACCTGCTGAGTTTGAAGAAATGTGGAACAAGGTGATGGTTGAATACCACTTGGAAGAACATGAGTGGTTAGGTTATATGTACAAGATAAGGGACAAGTGGATTCCGGCATATTTCAGAGATGTGTTCCTTGGAGGAATAATGCGTACAACATCAAGATCCGAAAGTGAAAACAACTTTTTCTGCTCCTTTATCAATCCCCATGTGTCACTAGTTGAGTTTTACTTGAGATATGAAGTTGCAATTGATGCCCAAAGACACACTCAAGGTCAGAATGATAATGATTCAAAGCACAAATATCTTGAGTGTAAAACACCACTAGGGATAGAAAAGCATGCCTCACATTTATATATTAACTCTGTCTTTTATGAATTTCAATATGAGGTTGAAATTGCTTGTTTTTCTTGTGGTGTTGATGAATTGAAGAAAGAAAATGGATTGGAAGTTGTAAAAGTAAGTGAAGGAAATCGGACTAGAACATTTGATGTTGTGTTTAATCCAACTAACTATGACACCACATGTTCTTGCAAGCTATTTTATAGACAAGGAATTCCATGTAGACATATGATTTGGGTTTAGAAAGCAAAAAGGTTTGAAACCATTCCTGAGCAGTATATGCTATACAGATGGAATAATATGGCACTGAAGAAACCAATTTTTGACTTGGGAGGAAACCTGTTGGAGCAATGTGATAATATAATTGACAAGAAAAAATTGTTAAATGATTTATGGTCAGAGATACACACTTGTGTAAGTTTGGCAAAAGGCAAAGATGAAGATATTCAAGACCTTGTGATACATCTTCAAGGAATAAGAAAGGATTTGGAGGCTAAGAGGATTGCAAGAAATAATGAAACAACAGCTGGAAGTGCAAACAACAAAGAACAAGACATTGAGCTATTGATTGGAGCTAGTATGCCAACTGAAATAATTGTCAAACCACCAAAAATTTCAAAGAATAAAGGGACTAGAGTTCATGTATCAAATGAAGAGACTTCAAAAAAGAAAGGGGCTGAGATTGATGTGCCAAATGTTGAAACAAGAGGTAGAAGTGCAAAAAGGCTGAAGGGAGAAAAAGAAAAGAATGTAGAACAAAACCAGAAAAAGAAGAGATTATGTATAGGTTGTGGTAAATTGAGTCATCATGATATTAGAAATTGTCTAAAAAAAGTGTAATGATGCTTTTATATAAATATAAAATTTAATATTTTTAGCACATCCCCTCATTATTTATCGAACATATAGAAATTTTATGTTTTTAATTTTGTAGATTTTATATTTCTTAACAGAATCAATTATGTGTCAAATGAGTATTTCAATTATTTGTCAAATGAGCAAATAGTTAAGCAAATAATTATTTACTCATTTGTAAAATAATCAAACATTTCTTTGACCATTTGGAAAATGAGCAATCAATTTTTTGCTCATTTATCAAATGAGCAAATAGTTAGTTGCTCATTTGTCAAATGAGCAAATACTTTGTCAAATGAGCAAACATTTTTTTTAATCATTCATTAAATCAACAAGCATTTCTTTGATCATTTGTCAAATGAGCAAATAGTTCATATAAACGCTAGGTATAATCGACAAAGTATTTCAAGTAAACACAAAAGATCCAATTTAAATATAACCACCACAAAAGTAACCATAATAAAAAATCAACACAAAAGATCCAATTTTGATTCAAATATAACCACCATTTTTACATCATTCAAAGACTAACAAAAATCTAATTTTGATTCAAACTAATTATCTAATTATGATTCAAATCGACACTACTAAATAACTTACATGTTGATAAAATCATTCTTTCTCTACTTCCCTAAACCTAGAAAGCCATATTAACACCACCAACTATCCAAATCAACACTACACCAAGTAAAATACTGAGCTTTTTCTTCTTAAGCCTTTTCTTCTTCACCCTTTTCTTCTTCAGCTTTTTCTTCTTCAGCCTTAACATAAACTTTCTTCTGCTTTTTCTTCTTTTGAGGAATTTCTTTAACGGACTGAATTGTGTTTATTTCACTTGAAATTATTGGCAGGGTGTACTTCACACGAAGTTTTTCTATTATTATCACCTGTAAAAAATAGAAAAGAAAAAATAAACATTAAGAAAATTTTAAAAAAATATAAATGCAGGAAGGAGGGTGAAGTAAGAAGCAGAAGAATAGAATAAGTACTAAGAAACCCATATATTGGCCATAGCCAGAATTTAATAATCGTCTTTTTTTATTATTAGATAAAGCTTATTCAGATTCAAAATCTGGCACAAAGTCTGATTTCCTTTACGATTATTTTAAACGAAAAGTAGCTTGAAATCTTACTAATAAGCTGCACAGACTGTTTATATTCATATGCAGCATACTTGATATGTAAGCCAAGACTATTAAAATGTTCTTATTACTTTATAAATTATATTCTAGCTTAATCTTGTATCAGAAGGCAAAGATATCAGTAGTAATGTGCAACAAATATATACAGATGAAGAAAAATAAGTTAGATCCGCTTAAAATTGTGTTATTGATCTGATTTATATTGTGGTAGCATATCAATAAATAATAAAGTTTTACTACATTTAAAGGTTCACTGGGTTCACTGCACTTTGGCTCAATGGCTCTACAGTTCATAGCCCAAGTTTCAGCCGAGGTGGAAAATGGAAGGTGGATGACTGGGTGTGCAAGGTCACTTTAGCAAAGAATAATTTGTTCATTTGAAAAATGAGCAAAGAACAATTTGCTCATTTAACAAATGAGCAAAGAATAATTTGCTCATCTGAAAAATGAGCAAATAATTGCTTGCTCATTTGAAAAATGACCAAATTATTGGCTGCTCATTTGACAAATGAGCAAGATTTAAATCACTCATGTCCTGCAGAAGGCGCATAACAATACATCACTAAGTGGCCAAAACCACACACACACACACACAAAATGCTAACTGAATGTGCTTCAGTTTAGTGCTAACCTTAGAGAGATGAGCTGAAATAACCAAAGATTTAAGATTTGAAAAATGAGAGGAGAACTGAGTGAAAACGAACTGGGCAAGATCACAGTTGATTTATAGACTGGATAATTTGATAGCCTTAGAGAAGCAAGCTACTTAGCATCCTTAATAGAGAGAGTTGTTATATTTCCATCATACTTGAATGATATAAGATTTGGGGCAAAAACTTGCAAATATTGTAGGTCATGACAGTGGTAGAACTCCAGTGATTTCAGGTTTGGGTGAGGGCTGTATTTTTTGCATTACTAGGCCATAATTAAACTCCAAAATAAATCTTTCAAGAGAAAAACAGGTAGATAAAATCAAGTTAAAAACATCGTCTGTGAGGTTTACAGTTCTTAGGAAAGACATTGGGAGAAGCAAAAACATGAGCAGGAAAATAATAGCTATTGGAATAACCAGGACTAAAAGATACGTTTAAATTTAGGTCGAGCTCACAAACACATCAAATGAGAAAAGAACAATTTCCTCATTTGACAAATGAGCAAAGAATGATTTGATCATTTGAAAAATGAGCAAATTATTGGCTGCTCATGTAACAAATGAGCAAGATTTATTTCCATAAGCAAATAAGACTTACATTATTCTTCTTCAAACCTGAAGGCCACATTGACAAACCCATGTATGTTTCCATAAGCCTCATCAATGAAACTCCACAGTTCAAATGATTGATATCTGTAGACTTCCAAGGAGAATCAATCGCAACATACTCCATGCGCTTGATATCGCTTGACATCACAGAGCTCTGTACATCTCCTCCATATTGCATAAAATTGCAAAATGCACTTCTCTGAAAATAAACACATTAAATGAGCAAACATTATAGATATTTCTAAAATCTAATCATTTTACTGAAATAAGCAAACATAATGTTAATAGACATTAACTTTTAAGTCGTACCAAATGTTTTAAAAGCTGTGTGTGATCTTCGGAATCTTCACTATAATCAATAACCTCGATATTACCATACTGTGTGTTAGTGCTGAAACATACCAAATAATAATGATCTCTTTCTTAAACTGGGAAGAAGAAAAGTTGAATGTCCTTCTTTGGGACAACAGTTTGGTCGTATAACTTCTTAGCAACCTCATGAAACATAGCATTCCGATGATTAACAGAATCAATCTCATAATGAACAAGACACTCCTACATGTTTACGAAAAAAAATAAAATTAAAACAACAGGAATACTGTAGAATAATTCAATAAAACAAAATAAATGAAAGAATATGAACTTACAGTAGCACAAAGCTTAAAAAAGAAACGAGCAGGAGAATTTGAGTCTCTAAATTGCTTATTACAATTCAGAATACTACACCGAGCATTAATGATTTCTGAATCAATTTTAGCTTGAGTATAAAGCTTTTCAAGTTGAAATCTCATGATTTCAACATTATCCTCTCCATTAACTTTGGATAAAAATACTTGTTCACTGCATAAAGGAATTAAGAAAGTTAGTATCACTAAAACAAATGGGAGTTAGTGTACAAGATAGCAAGTTCTATAATAAAAAAAATACTTACAAACGATTTTTATCATTATCAAACAGAGCTTCCAAGACACTTTTCTGAACTTCTGATAATGTAGAGTAAATGTTGATAATCCGAGACTTAAAAGGTGATCTAAGAAGCATTGATGGTTGAACTTTACGCTTCTTTAGAACAGGAACATCAACAGCACCTGCAGCAGAAGGACCAACATCTCCACTCAGAGGAACATCAGCATCAACAGCAACTGAAGGTCGTACAGTGGTTGGGGAGTTCTCCAGATCATCAATATTTTGAGAATCAAATCCTAAACTGAAAGTAGGAGTTCCAAATCCTTTTTTAATTGAAGATTTCAATCTAGATCGAATACTTGAACCTCTTTCAGCTTTTTCAATTTCAACTACAATAGCAGGACCCATTTTCAGAGAGACTATTTGCTATCTGAACGCTTTCAGTAGCAATCTTTATAACATCAATGGCTTCTGTTACGGTTGGACAATCAGCCCTAGCAAAGACTGAGGATTCAACATTCTTCTCATTAGCTGAAATCTTGGAAAATCTATCCCAAGCTTCAATGACAGCCGGATCTAGCCAATGCTCATCGTCTTGGCTAAAAGAAAGGCTATGATTTTCCGGCATAGCTTAGGAACTCAATCTTTGCTCGTCACAAATACCCATGGCATCTTCCCTCAGCTTCCGTATTTTCTCATTGTGAGGAAAATACTTGACAGCTTGTTCATGCTTTTCATTAAAGTCCATGTATGCCAAGACTAGGTTTGTAGATGCTGTTGCAAACTCCATAAGGCATTTCTGTAAAAAAAAAATACATAGTAAGATGAATATAAATGAAAGGAGTAAATATGAAATGAGCAAAGTGAATATGAAATGAGCAAAAATATAAAAATGAGCCAATTGAACTTTATTTGACAAATGATCAAAGTTTCCAGAAAAGTTATATAAATACCTTCTTTGGATCTTGTTCAGTTTCTTCATTTTTTGTACCAATAGGATCAGATTGTTCCTCAAAAAAAAAAAAAAAAAAAAAGTTAGAACAAGTTGAAAGCAAATATCCTAATTATTTGGTCATTTGACAAATAAGCAAAGTGGATATGAAATAAGCAAAGTGGATATGAAATAAGCAAATTGAACTTTATTTGACAAATGAGCACTAAAGTTTTGCTCATTTGACAAATGAGCAAAAAATTAATTGCTCATTTGACAATTGAGCAAATATATTTTTGCTGATTTAGAAGGTCCATTGATGTGCCATATAGAGCGCCACATTGCATCATTTTCCTAAAGGCAAGATTTGTTCCAATTCAATTCTACAAGCAATACCAAGGACATAGAAAAGCTAAGTATTGGTTGAAAGTGAAATACCATTTTTGGTTGTTTGCTGCCTGAAGGACCAACAAGCTTCAGATTTTTATCAAAAAGTCCAAGATTCCCCTTAAAAATTTCCAATTCCTCACAACTAGACAACATATTGGTTGTCCAACCTTTGAGGACTAAAGTTTCTCGTTTGGCTCTAACTTCCTCAATGACAAATTGATCAACATATAAAAGCTACAAACAAGTAAGATAGAAAAAATTAGTACATTAAAATTAAACAAAAATAAATAACAATTAATACATAAAAAATTAAGAAAAAAAACTTGGAAAATACCAGCCCCACCCCCTACTACCACCTACCTACACATTTCAATTCAGTAGCTGATCACAATTCTAATTTTAGAAATTGATTTCAAAATCTGATTTCTAAATCTAATTTCAGAATCTAATTTCATATTCTATTAAAGGTTGTGAGTGTGTGAATGTATGTGTATGTGTATGTGTGTGTGTGCACGCGTGTGTGTGTCTGTGTGTGTGTGTGTGTATGTGTGTGTGTGTGTATGTGTGTGTGTATGTATGTGTGTGTGTGTGTGTGAGTGAGAGTGTGTGCATGTGTATTTTCTTGTTAAAAAGTGTAATGATACTTTTATATACATATAACATTTAATACTTTTAGCAAATATATAGTTATTTTCAAATAGTTAGTTGCTCATTTGTCAAATGAGCAATTATTTAGTTGCTAATTTAACAAATGAGCAAAAACTTAGTTGCTAATTTGACAAATGAGCAAATAGTTCATTGATCATTTGTAAAATAAGCAAACAGTTCAAATAAACGCTAGGAATACCATAAGAAATAATAAAGACCCTGGAAAATATCGAGTAGGAAGCCCATCCCATTTCATCTTCGCCTTCACAAGAGAATCAAGGATAAACTTCGACCAACTTAAATCCTTGATTTTATCAACACTAGTAAAATATCTGAGAATGTCATGATTAACATTCTTGTTTTGTCCTCCTAGCATAAAATAACAAAATTAAATTAAAATGATCAAACAAGAACTAAAATGAGCAAAACGAAAGTAAAATGAACAAAATGAAATTAAAATGATCAAAATGAAAGTAAAATGAGCAATATGAAAATGAAAAGACTACCTGATATTAAAGTGGAAACACAAAGAACTACAAAATTGCGTTTGAACATTGGCCCAGCTGATCTATGGTTCTTCAAATACATTGAAAGCTCCCCAATGTTGACAGATAATGAGTTCTTTTTGAACTGTTTTTTCCATTGGGTGATGACTTTATCATCCTTTGAAAAAACATTTGCATCCATCTCCATGCCTCCAACTGGCAGCCCTAGGACCTCATGTACATGTTGTTCTGTAATCTTGAAAGGTTCGGAATCAGGAATATTCAAGGAACGACTCTGAGCATCAAAGTGCTTGACCAACCAAAAACCCAACTGCAAAGGCAGTTGGGACACTTTCAAAAACTCCAAGGACCCAAATCCTATAGCTCTAATTGCAATCAACTGATCTTCCGAAAGCTCCTTAAAAACATTAACGACAGATGAAGGTGACATCCTATTACGCAACGTCCCATAAACAACAGATTTTGATCCTTGCACTTCACCATCAGGATCCTCAAACTTCACATTCTGTTTTTCTTTCACTCCTTTTTCAACCTTATTTCCTTTTTCTGCTTCTTTTCACTGAGCTTCTCTTCTGCCACTACAGCCCCTGATGAACCAACATCAGCAGCAGCCCCTGATGAACCAACATTGGCAGCAGCCCTTGATAAACAAACATCGGCAGCAGCCTCCTTTTCAATAGAGTTCCTGCTCATACAAAATCATTAAAAAAAAAAAGTAAAATATCACATAGATTTTTTTTTTGGAAGTGTAGTGAAGAGCATACTTTACGGGAGGGTCTAGAGTATGCTATGATAGAGAAGCATAGGCTGATAAATTATCTAATGAACAATTGTAAAATGAGCAATCAATATTTTGTTCATTTAGCAAATGAGCAAATAGTTAGTTGCTCATTTGTCAAATGAGCAAATACTTAGTTGCTAATTTAACAAATAAGCAAAAACATAAATGCTCATTTGTCAAATGAGCAAATAGTTAGTTGCTCATTTGTGAAATGAGCAAACATTAGTTTGCTCATTTGTCAAATGAGCAAATAATTAGTTACTCATTTGTAAAATAAGAAAACATTAATTTAATCCTTTGGGAAATGAGCAATCAGTTTTTTGCTCATTTGTTAAATGAGCAAACATTTCTTTAATAATTCATTAAATCAACAAGCATTTAATAAGAAAATATAAAATGAGGAAATAAGAAAACACGTACATTATCCTTTCCAAATGTACATCCGTATAATCTTTAGCATTGTTAGGATCAGTAGCAACCGAAGAATCCATAGCAACGTTACAAAAAAAACCCGAAAAAAATGTAAGCTTACTTAAGCAAAGGAAAAATCAAATTAAGAAGCAAATTTGTAAGAGAAATAAAGAGGGGGAAGGGGGGTTCACCACATTTCTAACAAGAAGCAGAGGATCCACATTTCAGATAATGTCTTATTACACTGTGAACATGACAATTGCAAGGCTAGTTGAAGAAGCACCAAGGATTCACATAATCACGCCCAAGTGGCCTGGTTAACCAAGTAAGGAATTTAAAGCTAAATAATATATATAATCATACTACCCAGTACCCACAACATGCAGCATTACAACCCCTGCACCCAGCATTATCTTACACCCCACCCCACCCCACCCCGCCCCACCCAAATCTTAACCTACACCACACTAAATTCATCACCAACACAATTTCAACAATAATACATATTCCAAATCCGTTAAATGACTCTCTTGAACTAGCTGTAGTTTACAAAGAAGCTCGAGCTTTGTGAGAACAGGTTACTAGCATATGACTGCTCACTAGTGACTCAAAGACACAGTTCATAGTTCTAACTATACCCCAAAATTCCTTCAAATCAAAGTTTAAGAACTTTAAAGTTAAAAATATTGTCCTAAGTAGCACATCATTATCTCTTTGATGCAAGACAATTCAAAAATAATTCACACTTGTAATTGCATAAAAAGTACACACCACCTTTGACAGAACCTACTGCATCACCTACTAGTTTGATTGCATCACCTAATAGTTTGAGTTGATAAGATTATATGCGTGAAAAATAATACAAGGATAGATAGAGTAGTTTAAGTTAATTGTCAAATAATCACTGTTAATTGTCAAAGCATGAATAATTTAATGTAGCCAACATAGCTAATAATCACTAGACTAATTATACACCAATAACTAACAACTAAAGTGAAAACATAGCTAATATGCTTATAGACAAGCTAATACTCCATAGAAATTAAAAGTGAAATTACACTACTCCGATGAACCAGCTAACATATATAATTAATCATCGTTCAAAAGGCCAATGTATTGAACAAGAACATCTTGGTACAACTAACCAAGAAGATGACAGTTAGGTCAAGCACTCAAGCTGCTGAAAAAATTTTGCCATCTACTCCGAATATAATGTAAGACAAAGAGCCACAACATAATCGCAACAAAATAGCAACAAAACCGCAACATAATCGCAAAAAAATCGAGAAAAAATCGCAACAAAACCACAACATAATTTCGCAAATACACAACCAAAGCAAGAATACATGTTAAAAACTAAAATCAGGCAAAATAAAACTAAAATCAACATGATAATTACTCAAAAAACGAAAGTAAAACTAAAATCAACAAAAAAAAAACAAACTAAAACATAATCAACACAAAGTAACCTAAAATTAGTGAGCTGAAATCAACACAAATAAAACGAAAATCAAAACGAAAATAAACAATGAATGTAACCTATAATTAATTGAAAAACAGCAAAAATATAAACAATAAACTCACATTGACAAAGAATTGATGAAGATTGAAGAAGTTGTGATGAAAAATCAGAGAGAAAGACAGTAGAAAACCGGATGAACTTGAAGGAGGAGAGAGAAAAATTACGCGTGAAAGAGGAAGGAGGAGAGAAAAAAAACGCAGGAAATTGTTTTGAAATGAAATTGTTTTGTTTGACCAAGATTGTATTGTGACCGTTGGATGTAATTGATCCAACGGTTATAATGAGTCCTCATATATAATAGAGTTCTCACATAAGAGGTGTGGTCTCATATATATATATATATATATATATATATATATATATATATATATATATATATATATATATATATATATATATATAAATAATGATCAAATGTGTAAATCTTTAATCCGTTGTTATGGCTATTTGACTTGGACAAAGGCAGGGGTAGAGGGTGGTAGTGGCGCTCAGCCCATACAACAGGCTTCTTTTAAGTTTTTGTGTGGGCAAATGGGGGCATGAATTCCATTATCTAAAGACATTTTAATTCCTCTAGGCTCTAGTGGCTAGCATAATCCCTAATTCAAATTAACGTATATCCTTATCTTGTATTGTTTAAAGCGGTCTTTTAAGTGTTGCTCAACAAATAGTAAAAGTTATCCTACAACAATACTCTATAGAATAAACATCATATAAATTGTTCAATTCGCTTGTGTTAAAAACTAATTGTTCCACAATACAATGAACTTGCACAGTTTTCTTTAAAGTTAACAAGTGTAGATCACATATTATATTAGACAACATATTGTTATAAATAATGTTAAACAATAATATATGTAACATTAGTCCAACCAAATTACATGACTATATGAGAAAGTCTTGCCCCTAATCTTACGATTAACTTAATTTGAAAAATCTAACCATGTTATCTTCACACTTTAACCGATTACTGTGTACAGAGCAACTTCTAGTCAACTTCTCCCTCGTCATTTCTATTTTCTATTGTTTGGAAAAACAAATGCTCCGCTACCCCAGTCAACTTCCACTACGTGTCCATTTCTTTTTTTTTTTACTCCAAATTTTTCCAAAACTGAATTTTCTAACGCACTCTACACGATGTCGTTTGCCCCCTCGACGACCTCGGTCCCGGACCTACTCCCCGACCCGCCAACGCAGCCTAGTTTCATCTGCGTTGACTCGCCAGGTCGGGGAGCAAGGTCATCCCGGCAAAACGGGCACGTACTGTGATCCACTAACCAGCGGTTCACACATTCAACATGGAACACATGTTTACACTTGGGTAGCATACGTAATTTTTCATCCATCTCAAACTGGCTCAAGCACACTGAGCACTCTAATGAACCCTTATCGAGCCCAAGGCCGGACTTCTCGGAGTATATAAACACGGGAAAAGACTCGAGGACAGATGGGTTGAGTCCGCCTTGGGCCTGTTGGGTTGTTGTTTCACTAGCCGACCACCATTGGTAGCGGTTTAACCAATTACGAACTAGTACAAAGTAGACAACGATTAATAGCACAACAAACGACCCCACCAAAAATCCCTTGTTCCAATCTGGTTCCGAGGAGTGGTAAACATGGATGGATTGTGCTCTTACGAGTAAACGAGGTTGTAACATAGAAAAAAGGATTAATGTAATGAAGAAGCCGGATGCATTGTAGTAATGTTTGTACATGATGATTAGCACAACAAACGCCGCCACCAATAACCCCTTGTTCCAATTTGATTCCGAGGGATGGTGAACATCGATGGATTGTGCTCTTACGAGTAAACGAGGTTGTAATAAAGAAAAAAGGATTAATGTGATGAAGAAGCCGGATGCATCATAGTAGTATTTTCTAAGCAAGAACATCTTGATTACGTTGAAATTATTAGTAAGGTTCAAGGAGAAAATTATACTATAATGCCAATATATGACAAGCTAGGTATATATATATATGTATATATTAAAGCATACTTAAGGACGTGAATTACACTCCTAATAGTATAGACTACTGTTTAAAGAGATTCTAGAATAAGGATGTATTAAGTAAGAAAAAAAAATTAAGTCAATGTCAATGGTCAATTGATTACGATTATTATGAATCTATTCAAATAATAGTGGTAATATTTGTCCATATAATTGTGGAATAAAAGTGAAGAAATATACGTTATTCTTCGTGAACGTCTAATGTACTTCATATGATGACAATCATAGTTTGATGTTAGTCACGTTACAAGTTAGTCCATGGCGATGAATTTTCAATGGGATGGAAGGGTTCGACCGTTTTAAGTATTCAACAAAGACTTTTGAGTTTTGACTAGTCTTTAAGGCTTACTTTGGACAGGGTATGGTTCAATATTTTATCAATCTTGAAATCTTGGCTTGATTCTATTGGAATTTTATGAGCCACAAAATTGATCTTACATTCCGCTATATTATTATCAATAGATTCAACACATAATTGTGAGGAAACATTCTTGTATTCTTTCAGGAAAAAAAGTGCACCCTCTAGTACAAAATATTTCATGTTCATGTACTGAACATATGAATGAAGAAGATGCATCTAGTCATTCTAATGCACTACGCACGCGAATGCATAATGTATACATGTCACATAAAGTTTTCATGACCTTACGTGATATGCCGCAATTATTTCATGTTATCTGGGTTGTGTTTGTGATTGGTTTCATCTAAATTTCATGTTATTTATCAAATATATAAAAATTTGTAACTGTGGGTCAAGTTGATTGGATTCGATTTGGTTATTCTTGTTACTATCATGTTGGATTCGATTTTTTTTTCCTCAATAGTTCAAATTGCCAACTCTTATCACGGCCAGAAACACATTGCCTATTGTGTGGGCAAGGAAGCAGTACTTTGGTTACAAGTGACCAACAATTGACCCTTAAGACGTTTAAACCACACGTTACATTGTAATTGAACTCGTATAGAAGTTTTTGTTTTTTTTCCAAATGTGACACACGCCCAAACGAAATGTTACACATAGTACCCATCATTTTATGTCCATCACTACTTTATTTTTTTTTATTGAATAAGTTGATTTAGAAGAATATTATACTACAAATAAAAAATTTAAATTATCATACACCCTCTGTCTTTGATAATTGGCCAAGACTTCATTGGTCATTCACAACTATTATAACACAGCTACAACTCCTAGTCAATTTATTTTGGACAAATTCTTTCCGTACAGTTTCCATTGTCCTTAGCCCGGACCTTTCTTCATCCTCTTCTATCCAGCAGTCGGTTTCCGCCAAGTGTCCAGTCGAATTCCATCTCCAAATCTTACCAGTAAATTGAACATCTCGTTTCACTTCAGCTGTATCACTTACAACCTTAGCTCCCGACCCGCTTCCAGACTCATAAACACCATTCATATGCACCCGGACCGACTCATAAGGCATGGAAACAAGGTCAGCCCGGCAAATTGGGCATGTAGTGTGAGACGCCAACCAGCGGTCCACACATTGAAGGTGGAACAAATGATCACACTTTGGCAGCAAACGTAGCATTTCTTCCTCCTCGTACGGGCTTAAACACACGGCGCACTCTACCGGTCCCTTGTTGGATCCTCGTCGTGCTACATTAGAGTACGCAAAGACAGGAAAAACCCTAAGGATCGCCGGGTCAATCCCAACCCGGGCTCGATGGAGCGACCCGGGGTCCCGTGAGCTACAGAAGCGATTGAAGCATGCGTAAACAATGTAGTAAAGAATGGCGAAGATGATGAATGAGACTACAGCCACTAGTCCCATGTAAAGCGGGCTCCATACCGACTTTGAGTCTGAGTCTGAGTCTAAATCGCCAACATTGATGTATTGTGCTTTCGCAAGTAAAATAGTAGGGTGAAAAGAACAATAGTATAATGTGATGAATAAAATGTGTGTGTAGTAACAAGGTTTGCTAAACAATAAAATCATGTTAGAAATAAGAAGAGATTAGGAAAGAAATAGAGGAAGCATAGAGAAAATGGGAAAAATGAGCAAATATATCATGATATGTTAATGAAAATTAGCTGTTAATTTGTTCAAATTAGTGCCAACATACTAATTAGTGAAGAGGAATTGAATGATTACGAGAAAGACTTACTTTATAGTATCTTGAAGCCAAATCGTGAAGCCAACATAATATTTATGGGCTTAAAATTTGTGCAATTTAATAAAGGGAAGAGAAGTAGAAAGTGGCATGCCATTAGTAAGATTATATTGAGGAAATTAATATACTAAAATAAGTTTTGCCACTACCCACAAGCTAAGGGATGCGATCGTTCTTAACAAAAACATAATAAAATCAAGTGATCAAGGATGTGATCGTTGACGGTTGGTAGGTTGCATATACTTAATTAGCAGCTAGTGATTTAGGTTTGACATTGCAATTATTCCTTGGATATACTCTTGTTTAGATTGATTATGTTGACCGAGTATGCTCTTATCGATTAATGTGAAACAAGTGATAACGATACGGAATACTACCTAGACAACGTAGCTGACCGAACCGTACGTAAAGCTCAATTAGAATTCTCCAAAAGAATCTAACAACAACAATGAGACTTTTTACGAAACCTAGCAGATCCAAAATCCTCATCAACTCGGCTAGATATTCTATCTCACATCGTACATGTGTAAGTATCATATGGCTCCAAGCTTATTATAAATAGCATTAAGTACCCCGTTAATCCTCATTGGAGACGATTTTTGACACATTGTACTTTTACTAGCACCTCTCTCTCTATATATACACTTCTATATTCGATAACTTAGGCCTCGGAGGTAGTATCCTCGGTTAAACCTCAAAAGGGTAGCTAACATTCGTTATTTCCGGTGTAGACCTTGGCCATCCCATCCATACACGACTTATACAAGCATTCAGCCATATATGCCACACACTTACTACCTTAATTAGTCATCCACACAACTATACATTCAGTAGCTACCCTCATGATGACCATATATAGGAAATATATGCAACTTATCTTACGTCCACAATGTTATTATACAACTACTACTCCTAGTCAAACTACTTCTCAAAAAGTCTTCACGTATTGCCTCCGGTAACCTTAACCTGAACCTCTCTCCGTCCTCATCCCCGTCCCGTTCGATTTCTGTCAAGTGTCCGGTTGAGTTACACCTCCAAATATTGCTAATATACAGACCCTCGTGAATTTCTTCTATTTTCTCTAAGGTATCAATTCCAACCTCCGCTCCTAACATGCTTCCCGACTCATCAACATTACCCGATTCTACTCGAATCATCATCTCATCATGTATGGAGACGAGGTTAGCCCGACAAAGTGGACATGTCGTGTGAGCCGCCAACCAGTCATCCACGCAATGAAGGTGGAACACATGGTTACACTTGGACAACAAACGCAACGTATCTTCCTCTTCGAATAGGCTTAAGCACACGGCACACTCTAGAATTCCCTTATTAGACTCAAGGCTTGCCACATTAGAGTAGGTAAAAACAGGATAAGCCTCAAGGATGGCCTTGTCGAGTCCACCTCGAGGTCGTTGTGGTGGCTCAGGTTCCGGCGGCAGCCAGCAAAATTGAATAAAGCATGCGTATGCAGTGTAGTAGAAAATGATGAAGAACATGGTTAAGAACGTAGCCACTATTCCCGTGTAAAGCGGGTTCCATATCGAGTCTGAATCCAAATCCGAATCTGAATCATCAACATTGATGTATTGTGCACTTACAAGTAAAGTAGGAGGATAAAAAGAAGAAATAATTAAGAAAGATGTGAGGAGAAAAATGTATAATTGGTTACAATGTTTGCAAATAAAAGAGATCATGGTGAAAATAAGAAGAAATGGGGCTAGAAATAATAGAGTACGCATAAAGGAATGAAGATATACTTATAGTTATAGCCATATAATGAAAAATGTATCATATAATATACTCCCTCCGTCCCATAATATATGAGACGTTGGACTTTTTTCACTATTTATGCATTAGCTTTGACCATAATTTTTTACTAACATAATAAAAACATATTTTATCATAAAATATGATGTTAGATAGGTATTAATATAAAGTTTCATAATATAATTTTTAAAATAATTTTCATTAATATTTAATTATATAAAAATAAAGTCAAACTAGTACATTAGCATGTGTGCAGTGTTAACTGTGTCATGTATTATGGGACAAAGAGAGTATTTAATCAACTACCAAACAAGCTTGGTGGAGATGGTGGAGAACTTACCTTATAACTTTAAGGTCACAAGTTTGAGCCCCACCAACTATAGTTGCTTTGGGAGTAGTGGGATTCCCTTACCTCCCCCTCTACTCTCAAGCATTGACCTACGGAACTGGCCTGGTTGGCTTAACTTGTGAAAGGTACCGCTCTAATAGGGTCCTTCATCTTAGCTTAAAAAATGTATATATTTAATCAATATAGCTTACTTGATAGCTGAAATCTTGAGTAGAAAGTGGCATGCTATGAATTGGTTTTTACTTTTTAGGTTCTCTTGAATTCATGCTTGATTTCAAGCTTACGTAATTATCTAGTACTTGTATATATTAGTTGTGGTAGCTTATACATAAATCATTAGGATTGTATATATAATAGTCCATTTTTTAACTACGTTTTTAATCATGATTAACGCTTACATAATGTTTAAATCGTATCTAGGTAGCTATTTGTTTCATAAAACGTAATGACTGATTTCACATACGATTGATATCAGAATTGCAAATTAAGCATGATCCACTCTTAAAGTCTTAATACGTTCTAGAAGATATTACTTGTTGCACAATAAGTTATGTGGAGAAGCGTGTTAAGTCTGACCGTTTAACAAGGCGCCGTGATTCACACCTATTAATTGCCCAGTGTATACAGTGTTACTTGTTGTTTAATTTCTAATTTTGCGCTACAAAAACCC